TCTGCCGAGGCCCTGAGTCTCCAATTTGTGTGGGGCATATCTAGGTTGGAGACAAGGGTACAAATTCTCCAGGTTTGGAAGGGGGGCTCAGCTCCAAGCAAATTGAAAGTGCTGTGTTCAAACCTGTAACTTAGCTAAGAGAGCACCTAAAATTTGCAAGGCTTTACTGATTTGTTGCTGCAGCTTGCCAAGACTCTCAAGAAGTTCTATATATTTGTTTCTGACTTCCCTCTCAGTCATTATGGCACTAAGGCTTGCCCTCTGCTCTGTTCTGTGTCCACCTTCTTAGGCTAGATTAAATGTTCCTTATCTCACTAAGTAAGAAGCTTATTGCACAGTTCAGGCAGCATCCTGATATTATCACAAGGATTTAGATGCCAGATTTGCTGCCTGAGTGCAGCCTGGGTCTATCCCTGCTCCCACAGCTGCCCAGTGTGGCTTTTTATTATTATTATTATTATTATTTTTGAAGCCAGGAGTTTTCTGACTTGAGAAAATAGCCACCAGAGCAGCCCTGGGAGCAGGGATGGACCCAGGATGGACCTGGATGGTGATTTCAGTGGCAAAACCTTTGCAATAGGGTCTGGATGCCAAATGTATACCGGATCAGGTAAGGTGATTTAATTAACTATGTGATAAGCTCCTAAGTGAGAATGAATACTCCCCTCATTTCCCCTTGATCTTGGAACAGCAACTTCATCTAGGGGCTTGTCTACATGAGTGATTTACCCTGAGTTTTCTCCTGGGCTTGCTGCATCCTGCTAAGATGACACAGGGCCAAACCCCTGAATCGAGTCTGGACTGTCTTCATGACACCCACACCCCATTTGTGGCTTTTCTTCCCTAACCTACATTTGAATAACTCACAATTTTTTGTGGGTTTTCAGCAACAGTGGTGGCTGCCTTTTTACTCCCGATCCATGTGAGTTGCCCAGTGTCACAGCTGTGGGTGCAAGTCATTCTGAGATCAAAATGAGATGCCTGCCATTGATAGCATGGTTGGGCACCTCATTCCAATCTTAGCAGCAGCACTGTGTGATGAATGGGGATAAAATGGTAAGCTAGATGGCCATCATTGCTCAGGAAAAGAGCTGAAAACCCAAAAAGTAAAGGGGGAATTCAGGGCCAGAATATTCTGGGGCAACCTGGAGAATTCTAAGTATAGATGAGCCTTAAGATTAGTGTCTTAATTTCCAAACAGGAAAATATGCCCCCTACCCCATCTCTCTCTCTCTCTCACACACACACACATACACAGTTGAATGATAAGCTGGTTGGTACTTAAAGGATGGTTCTTAACAACATCACCAGGGGCTTTCCCTTTCTTAAATGCTGAAAGTCTACGAAGTTTTGTTTTGTTCCAGATCTGTCCACTAGGGGATCCCCTTTTCCTCCAAATGGAGGGCATTCTGAATAGCTTTATATATTAAAACTATTTTTAATATAACTAGTTTGGGAATGGGGGGAGGGGAAATAGAATTATCTTTGCAAGCACAAATTACTTTTCATATGTGTTAATACAGTTAGAATTATAGCAGGCCAAATAAATTGTTCCTTACACTTCTGTAGCATCAGAATTTTTATGTATTTATAAAAGCATTTGTATGCCATTTTTCAACCACAAGGACATTCAAAAACTGACAAACAATTGATATAGATACAGATATAGACAGCATATTGCATTTTCACTTGGCATATCAGATTTAAAGCTTGGTAGTTTGGATTCTTAGCATATCAATAGTTAGCAAATTATATTTTAAGTTTGTCTATTAAAGCTGAGGGGATCAGATACCAAATCATTCAGAACACACCTATCACTAAAATATCTGTCATGTTAATGGTTAATTGAACTTAGCCCCTTTTAAAATCTTTTCAAACTTTTTTTTAAAAAACAAACAAACATAGAACCACATTAGTGAAACATGTACACATATAGTCACATTATACACAGTGATAGTAACTTTTGACAAGTTGGGTTAGCATAACATATTAAGTACTGTAAGTGCACTCTTCATATTACAATGAAGTTCCTTCCTTGCATTTCAGAATGGGTCTGTGAAGAAAAAGGTTAGAATGGCACCAATTAAAGGATCTAATATTATTTTAGCTCTGCACTGCCAAAGAAATACATCACAAGAAGTATGTTCACCATTTGCATGTGTAAACCAGCTCTAACAGGCCCGCGTGCATAGCAAGTTTAATTGGTAGGCTACCAAGCCAAACACAGACAATCAGCAATCCACTAGTGCCTTCATAAATGTAATGTTTTTACTGGCTTCTGGTAGCAAAAATGTTAAATGGAAGTTCTCAAGCACCTGGCAGACTGTATTCATGTTATAGATGGGTGATGCCTTCCCCTCACACTTAGCTTATGTCAGAACAGCTTTCCAGAAAAATAAAACAGAAAAGTAATTCATGCTGTTTCTAAGCCAATCCCACTTTTAATTCATCCATAGAGAAAGGGAGGTCTTTCTGCCCCATCCTTTTCTGGTGCTTGAGTGGAACAGTTTAGCACACAAAGACAGAGAACTCCTATGACCTCTGGAAAGGGCAGAGCTTTCTCACTTCTTAAAGGCAACCTGCAATTTTTATCCTATTATACTGGCCAGAAAAAATCCTTCCAGTGACTGATGGATATAAAAATTCCTCTATGGAAGTGACTGGACATTTTGTCTGATGTGTCACATCCATGTTCAGTTCAAGGTTACTGATGTAGTGGAGTTGTGCATGCAGTGCTACTGCACATTTGGATGCAGATTCTCAGCCAATGTGTTTCCATTTGTCCCCTGTTGAAATTGGTAGCAGTGCTCTTATGGCTGTGCATTTGGTTGCACCTTTTATTGTCCCTTCAGTAGTATATTTGGTTTTTTAGTGTTAACATTCAACTCCAAGGTTCTGTAGCAAAGTCAATGCATAATCTGGATGGAAAGTTATACTACTCACCTTGACATGAAATCTCAGCCCCACATATTCTCTTTTCCTAGTTTAGAGAATGGGGATGAAACTATGAAACTTTTCACTTGGAGAGATATTAATCCAAGAGGGATAAACATTTGAGAATTCTGACATTCAGCTCTTCTTTAAGCAAGAACAATGCCTCTGTAAAACTTGTAAACACATGAACATCAGCCATGGCATGCTTCTCCCACTTCTTGAAAGTATATCTATCTTTAGTCTGATTGTATTCTTTATTCTATGGAATTTCTTTCAAACTGGAGCTGGCTATGAATTTGAATGAAATTATAACTGACATGCTGGATTTTCTGAATGACAATACTGGGAGCCCAACTAGCCCCATAAAGTTATTCACCTAGCTAAGAAGAATAAGTATGTCAGTTTCAAGTACTCCAATTTCAATTTGTTTAGGGTCTAAACAAAGCCATAAGTCTGAACTGTACCCAGAAACAAACTATTCACCAATGTAGATTTTTAATAGTAAGAGTTCTCATCTTTTTTCAGTTTGTTTGCTCTGTAGCAGTAAAACTTATTCATTGTTAGATCACCTCATCATATACATAATGTATTTTCATAAACCTATAGAAGAAGAATGATACCCAAGAAAAACACTTTTCCCAACATTTATTGTTATGTGCTTTCAGGTTGTTTCTGACTTATGGTGATACTAATGCAACCTTGTCATGGGGTCTTGGCAAGATTTGCTCAGAGGTATTTTGCCATTGGCATCTTCTGAGGCTGAGAGTGTGTGTCTTGTCCAAGATCACTCAATGGATTTTATGGCAGAGCCAGAAATTGAACCTTAGCCTCCAGAGTCATAGTCCAGTGCATAAACCACTACACCACAATGGCACTAATAGTCAAAAAATTCTCCAGGGACTAATATTAGGCCACCTATATAATCCCCATCATGTGCTCTGGATAACTAGCCAACAAAAAACTTTTTCCCCTCCTATATTTTCATCTCTCCTCTTTTAAATATACAGCCAGATTTTTAAACAAACTAATATCCTGATCAGCACACTCCAAAGGAAGCACCGTAATCCCTCCTGCAGAAGAAAACACCACCAAGACTCCTTTAGAGAAGACAGAAAGCTGTACCATCATTCACACATCTTGTTTCTCTTCTCCAAGGCTGCTGCCTAACTGTCTGCCTGATTTCTGGTGAGTAGGACCATCTAGATTTTCACAGGAGCAGGCTCCAGATTCTCCCAGGACTGAGACATCAACTGCTCCCCTGCCTGAAAGGGACAGCCTGGGTGGCCTTAAGGAATCAGCACACTCTGGAGGAAGCATCATCACCACCTCTGCAGAGGAAAGCACCACAAAGATTCCTGCAGAGAGACCTGTTCCATCATCCTGAAGAGTGACAGATGAGGATTTTGTTTCCAGTATTATTTTAATATATTATAGTGTTGTGTGTTATTATTTTGTTGCTGATTGAATGTTGATGTTCTGCCCTTTTGTGAAAAGGATGTTATAAATGAATGATATTATTATTGCCATTATTACTACTTCTAGAGTTCACTATTGAAATTTGTTTAAAACTGTATATGAAGTCTATCTCCCTTAATGACAAGTAATATTAAGTCTACTGATGCCTGCATATCAATTAAAAACAAGGTGTATTTGAAGTGTATGAAACAGTATCATACTAATTCTCCCACATACTTCAGAGTACAAATGATCCCAAATGGATTAAAATGAAATAATTTGTAATAATTTGTTATTCTAAAATGGTGAAATTCTGTACTTAGAACGTATCCTATGACAAACAGGTAAACAGTTTTTTCACATGACTCTCCCATTACATGTGGAGTTTAAAATTTTAACAACAGTACAGAAAAAGTGTTGGAATTCAATGCACAACAATGAATGGGGGAAAAGTGAAACATGACAACCCAAGGATCAAAATTATCCCAAACAAACAATTAACCCTTGAAAAATAAGAAACT